TTGACTGGGGGGGGGGGGAAATATTTTGAGAGTCAATATGGCTTGTGAAGCCAGCTGTATGTGGTATCGCCTGTAGCACAACTCCAGTATTCATTTTCCCCCCTATAAAGCTTTTCATTCAGGTAATTTCTCAGTACTGAGATAAGTATGCAGAGCTTCCCAGTGCTACACACCTAGCTAGAAGGGCCTCAACTTTAAAGAGACTGCAACAGTTCTGACCTCCCTTTAGTGTTTCCTTCCCTCAAGCAATTCTCCACATTACACATTAACCCTTTGGGCCTCTCCCAGACATTTCTGCAGCAACTGCCCTGCTTTCCTCAGTGAAAGTGATCTTGTCACATGGAAGCATCCACAAGTTTGCTGGTCACTACCTCACTAACTCATGGTTTTTTTGTTGTCTGCTGAGCCAGAACAAGGGCTTTGCACTTCTACAATCCCAAATAAAAAAAGCAATTCCCATGGCAACAAGGCTTTGTGTTTCTTTAATTGTCTAGCCAGGACTCCCCAAGTGCCATACATCAGCTCTCAGGACACTGCAAGGATGTTATGAAGAATTACTAAGCCACAGAAAGTTTGAAAGACTTTGTCAAGGTCGCAGAAGAAGCCTGCAACAAAAGCGGGAAGCAAACCCATAGCTGAGCTTCAAGCCAAAAATTACTCGCACAACAAGAACAGAGCCTGGGGCTCTCCCTGTGCCATCTGAATGCAGCAAGGGATAATCCCTGCCCAAGACTGCAAGCAGGAGGGACAACAAGGACACAGAGAAGGGGAGTGATGTGCCCAAGGTCCCAGCAGGTCAGCAGAACTGGGAATAGAACCCCTCCCTCCTCCACAGGCCATCTGTGAACAATTCCTACTCCTCTTCCAAAGTCCCCCAGGTACATAGAAGCCAATTTATAACCTGAGGTTTGTGGTCAGCCCCCAGGGGAAGGAGGAGGGGGGGAAGAAGGAGAATAACACAAGACACCTGTCAAAAAACCTTCCTCTTTAAGATTAGCTGGCAGAAGGAAAGGAAAGGCTTCTGTTTCAACTAGAGGTCATGGTAAAGAGAAGGCTGAGAATGCCCTTGTGGATAACAACAAAAAGGTTAGCCATGGTTGGCACTGGTAAACTTACACCCAATAGTCACTGACAAAAAGCTTGCTGCAACCAAAGAAATGATTTTTCAGTGAAGACACCTATTCGTCACAAGCAGCTGTCCCCTCTATTCAGGCTCTGGCTCCATGTTACCCTTCTTGTCTCCTTACCTTCCTTCTGCTTTGCTCCCGTACCTACTCATCACCTGCTTTCTAGCAGCCCTTCTCTTGCAGCTCCTGCATTAAACTGCTTCATCAATGCACCATTTTTCAGCTGTAACTGAACAGATATTTCTCTTTGCCATCTCCAATTCTCTCCCTCTGCTACAATCAGCTCAGGACATATTATTGTCTTTAATTCTGTACAGCACTTAGCAAACAGTTGGTGCTGCAGAGCAAAATAAGTCACATGGCAAACTAATTTAAAACCAGTAAGAAAGTTGATGGATCCAGGCAAAAGATAGCCACAGCCAAGAGCTTCCACCTTTAAGTACTCAACCCCACACTTGGGAATGCAGCATGCCTGAAACAAGTTTAATGTAAAATATGCCAGAAGAAGAGCTCTAGATCAGTGTTTCTCAACTGGTGGGACACGAAGGTCATTTGGGTGGGACTTCAACTCATTACCCAATTGAAAAAATCAAAGTTGTTTGCACTTCAAATAGATGAATCAACAGATATCTCAAACAGTGGGGTTTTGTTTTTATTATGGTGGGACCAGGGTTTTTTGAAAAAATGACTGGTGGGACACAAGGTGCAAAAGACTGAGAACCACTGCTCTAGATCTTGATAGCTATAGCATTTGCCAATTTGGCAAAAAACATGGGAAGGAATAAGATGCCAGCTATGCCCTCCTTCTCCAGGGAAGAGGCATCCAATTTAGAGATCATTTACAACACTCTCACACCAATTCTGCTTACAGATCACCTAAACTAAGGGACAACAATGCATGCACATTTACTTCTAATAAGGAAGAGAAATTCAGGTGGGCAAAGGGAAGGGGAGCTCTTGGATATTTCAATCCACAACAGTGAACAAGTTCCAAGGTACCAGCAGTGAAGCTCTGGCTGAAGGATTCACGCCAAGATCAGTTCTCTGGCCCCTACCACAGAATCACCCCTTTAAGTCCAATTGGGAAAAAACATCATCAAGGTGATAACATTCTGTTCACCAATGCGAATATATGTATTTTATAGGACAGTTACCTATTCAGAACCAACCAGGGAAGCTCCTTGCCCCTCTCCCATGCTTATCTCAATCCTCCAGCCCCAACTGTCCACTACAAAGGTTGCTGATGTACAGTGGTAGTCTGCAGCTCTTTTTTTGGACACATTTCTTCATAGAATCATGAGGAAGTAGAGCTGGGAGGGACCTCCAGAGGTCATCTAGTCCAACTGCCTGCCTGAGGCAGGATTCTCCCTATCCAAACTATCCCATAGAAACCATAATCTAAACTCTACATAAGACTGCCTTCAACTCCGACACAACGCTGACCTAACAACCTAACCTGCCACAGGTAAAGCAGGGGAACCGGGGCAGCCAACATCCTGCTTCTATGAACGGTTGTCAATACATGCTCAAGAAATCCCAGGGAAGAGGGCCATGCCCCCTGCTACAGAGAAAGACAAAAACCCCTACAGTCTCCACCCATCTGACCATAGGGTAATAATGTTCCCTCTTGACCCCAAATATGGTGATTGGTCTGACCCTGAGCAAAGGGACAGGACTCCCTAGCCAAGGACCTTTGCCTTTGGTCCCAGCAGGAGCACTGGCACACCTTGATCAATATCCCCAGCCTTGGCTGGAACCAACACCTAATGCCTCTGAGGAAGGCTCAAAAACACCCTTACACAGGTAGCAGGAAGGGCAGGCAGGGGCAACCTGCAAAGCCCAGATGCCTGGGAAATCCCCATAGTAGAATATAGGCATCACTATGCCTGCATCTTCCCTGATCAGGGGCTGTTCAACCTTTTCTTGATCACCTCCAGGGATGGAGAGTCCCTGCTCCCCTACACGTCTGCTTCACGGCCTGGAATTCTTACCCCGTTTGCCCTCAAATATTGGGAATGTCAGCAACTCCCACCTCTCTCGAAGAGACCCACATTATATTTCGAGAGAGAAAGTGCACTTGTGCAAGCCTCCTCTTTCCTTCTCTCCTGAAGCAGCAACCTTGCAGCATGTCAAAGCCAGGCCTGCCAGAGGTACAACAGCAATCCCTTGGGAAAGAGGAGCTAGGCTGAGAGCACAGGGGGCAGAGGCACAACAACGGCTTGGCTCCCAAACCAGAAGGGGTTTGCTTCAGGGTTTGTCACCTGCTCTGAGGCAGATCCTTACCTGGTTGGCAAATTCCCTCAGGTGAGCCATGTCCCCAGGCTGGTCAGACATCCGCTTCCACCAAGCCAGGCGGCAGGAGGTGTGTAGCACAGCCCAGGGGCAATGCTAGCTCCTCCACGGATGAGCTGGGAGGCAAGAACGCAGCTGCTGTACTCCAGGTGCCCCGCACCCACCCGGCTGGCCGGCGAGCGACCCCCACCCCACTCGTGCCCGCACCAGGCCCGGGGCTGCCGCCCCCTCCCAACCACACACCCTCTGGGCCCTCCTGAGAGCCAGCACCAGTCTGCCCGGCCCTGAACACCCCCGGGCTGCTGTCCGCCCCGTCCCAGCCTGCCCAGCACCT